ATTTACCTTATAGTGAACATGCCCTTATTTTGTCCGTATATACGGATGGATTATCAAGTCATGTGACTTGATGCACAGGCTTTGGTTTTCTCGATTTTTTTATTACAGTGACAACTCATCTCTTATTGATATATGTGGGATTCTCAATTCAGAAAGTCACATGGCAACAGCGAATTCACTGATTTACCTTAGAGTGAGCATGCCCTTATTTTTTCCGTATATGTAGATGGATTGTGAAATCATGTGACTTGGTGCACAGGCTTTGGTTTTCTCGATTTTTTGCTCGATTTTTTTATTACAGTGACAACTCATCTCTTATTGATATATGTGGGATTCTCAATTCAAAAAGTCACATGGCAACAGTGAATTCACTGATTTACCTTATAGTCAGCATGCCCTTATTTTGTCCGTATATGCAGATGGATTGTTAAGTCACGTGACTTGGTACACAGTATTTGCTTTTCTCTATTTTTTCAGTCTAGTGACAACTCATACCTTGTTCATATATGTGGGATTGTCATGCAGAGGCATCTTTCTAAAGCCGTTCATAACCAACTATATAAACGACTAAAGGTGAAGACACAACCTTACAACTCATGTTCACCCTACGAAATTATCATTCATTTGTTTTAAAAAATTAGCATGGCTACATAGTTCATGGGAGGGAGTGGGAATCGCAGAGGTGGTAGGAACTTGCAAAGGGGTGACAGTTCACAACGAGGAGGGGAAAGAGGACGTGGCGATGCTGAAGACGATTCATGGGAGGGAGTGGGAATACCTGTTTTAGATTATACTTGTGGTTATCGTGATAGGTTTGGGAAGCGACATTTTTGGATGCCCAAGTATTATCCAGTTCAAGGAGGTTCATGTATGGATCCATCAGATAATCAAATAGGATATGGTTTAGCAGATGCTAGACTTCTGAAGTGGCCCACACTATTTATAGAGTGAGTGCAAATGGAAAGATTATGTCGGGAAAATCGACTGAAGGTGCCAAAAGCACATTCTGTTGAGATCCAAAAGGAAGATCCTGATAATGTTGATCGACTATGTGAAAGACTACAACGTGAGATTTCTCAAATGCGCCGTAGGTTAGCCCGCGATATGCAGCTATACATAGTTAAGAAGGATGCCCAGAAGAACAAAACAGAACCAAATCTTGCGGCTATCAGGGTATCATGGAGGATCCTGAACTTGTCTCTGACGCTAAGCTTTCGGATTATTCAGACTCTGAGCCACCTGCCGATTTAAGCGCGAATTAGGTGTTAATGTCTACATTTCGGCAATATTAGGTCATGCATTAATATGTAATGTCTATGTTAGACTAAGTATAACTGTTATGTTATGTTTATGTTTATGTTTATGTATTGTGTCTGTCAAATGTTGCGGCTATTAATATGCAATATTAGGTCACGAATTAGGTGTTTGTCTGTCTAACTGTTATGTTTATGTATTGTGTGTTCAATTTAGGGTGTCCAGGATGTATGTAATGTGTGTTCAGTTCATGGTGTCCACAATGTATTTTTGTGGGAGACTTATGTCTGTACTACCTATGTAACTAAAAACTATTACATTTGCAACTTCAGTTATGTTGTTTTCATGCCTGTATGAGTGTTTAGTAAATTAGTGACTTCGTATATTATGTATTAAGTTTTATTACAAAAATATTGACAAAATTTATTTTAGGAGCCCTCGTGGTGGCCTTCGTTTTCTTGGCCTACTCCGCGGTGCTCTTCGCGTCTCACCCTTCGTCGTTGCTCGTCGAACTGCACAGTGTGTGGGTGTGTTTCGGACTATAGAGCATGCATGTCACCTTATAACCCAAAACAAAGACGAAAGAAAAAAAATTATTTTTTTAATAAAAACGGGTACAAAACGGTTTTACTAAACTGGTTTTCTGAATTACATTCTCACCTTGTAACCCAAAACAAAGACAAAAGAATAAATATATATATTTAAATGAAAACAATTTTAGTAAAGCCAAAATAATTTTCTGAATAACACTTTCTAAACCAAAACAAAGACAAGAAAAAAAAAATTTACATGAAAACGGCTTTAGTAAAGCAAAAAAAAAAAATTATTAATTATATTATCACCTTCTAACCCAAAACAAACACAAAACAATAAACAAAAAAAATTTACATGAAAATGGCTTTAGTAAAGACAAAAAAAATTTCTGAATTACACTTTCTAAACCAAAAAAACAAAAAAAAATTTACATGAAAACGGTTTTAGTAAAGACAAAAAAAACTTCTGAATTACACCTTCTAAACCAAAACAAAGACAAAAGAAAAAAAAAATTTAACATGAGAACAGCTTTAGTGAAGCCAAAAAAGAATTATGAATTACATTATCACCAAAACAATGACAACAGAAAAAAAAATTTAAAAATAAAATAAAATTTAAATGAACAGTGAAAGCGTGGTTTCAATCCATACTTACTATAGTAAACAGTGAAAGCATGAATTTTGTAAATGAACATGATTGGCTTAATAATATCTAAATGAACATGATTTTAAAATTATATATATGAAAAATATTATGTAAAGTTAATATATGAAAAGAGGCTTTTTCCATAAAAATTTAAATGATATATAAATTGGTTTAAGTCCCAAATGTTTGGTAATTAGTTCAAAATATTATGTAAAATTAATATATAAAGAAGAGGCTTTTCTCATATGATGTAACACAAATTAATATATGAAAAGAAGAGGTTTTTCTCATATTATGTAAAATTTCTAAATTACACCTTTTAAATCAAAAGAAAGACAAAAGAAAAAAAAAATTAACATAACAATGGCTTTAGTAAAGCCAAAAAAAATTTATGAATTACATTATCACCAAAACAATGAGAACAGGAAAAAAAAATATTAAAAAATAAATAAATAAATAGGTAAATGAAGAGTGAAAGCGTGGTTTCAATCCGCGCTAGTAGTTATCAACAGTGAAAGAGCTAATCCAAATAGCGTTTTCCTCACAAAAAACTCATATACACAGAAAGCGCTATTTCAAATAGCGTTTTCTTTAGAAAAAATTTTTTCACAGAAAGCGCTATTTCAAATAGCGTTTATTCGGGAAAAAAATTATGTTAAAAGCGTGATTTGTAACCACGCTTTCTTAATTAAAAGCGTTGTTTGCAATAGCGCTTTCACTATTCATCACAATTTGGGCTCCAAACAGTGAAAGCGCGATTTGTAATAGCGCTTTAGCCTAGTTTGGGAATTCCGTCCAAACTAGGCCTAGTTTGAAAATTAAGATGCAAAATAAGCTTAATATCGGAAAAGCCCCACGTTCTTTTCTTTAGCTTCAATCATGACATCAAATCTATATTAAATGAGGAAACATCGGTCGGTGGACAGCCGGCTGGTCAACTGGATTAATGGCCAATGAAATGATCGACTTGGAAAAATTGTTAAAATTTTATTCTAGACCTGACCAAAGCTAGCCCTGGCCTAAGGTCACTGACACTTGTGCCTAGAGTTTTATTTTGGCTGGAAATAAGGTTCTAAATTTATTAATTTTATATTATATTAAAAGTTTAAAATTTAATTTTTTTTATTATTTGAGGCCAATCTAAAAGGCTCCTAAAAAAAAAATTGGGTCAAATTATATATATATATATAATCATTGTTAGACCTAATTAAAATTTTATATAATTAGTCCAAACAAATATATATGATATAATGAGTCCAAATAGAATCTAATGTCAAGATTTTAATAGAATAAATAATTTTATCTTAATTTTTTGCCCTCTCCCTTCATCATATTTTAATTGAATAATTTTACCTTAATTTTTTTTCCCTCTCTTTATCATATTTTAATTGAATAATTTCGCCTTAGTTTTTTTCTTCTAATTTGTTATCAAATAATTAGTGGATTGTAATTTGTGTAGATTATAATTATGTTATTAGATATCATATTACAATAACAAAATCATTTTGTTATCAAATATCAATGAATTATGTTATTTGTGTTGATTATTGCTAAACTATAAAAGAACATGACCCTATTTTTTCTTTTTTGAGTCTTTGTAATGATTTTTTCGTATCTTATACGAAAATAAATTTTAATAATTATGTGTAACGAAACTTTTTGTAGCTACTAAATAATAAAAAAATTATTGATAACTTATTATTTTATCAGTAATTTTTTTTATAAAAAAAAATGTACGCAAGAAAATCCCACTTTCAAAGCCCGTCTAAGGCTTCATAAATCTCAGGGCCGACCCTGGACTCGACAACCGGCCAGATAACCGGCCAATTAAATGAAGCGATTGGAACACATCAGATCAAATCTTTACTCAAATTTGATAAAAATTTTGAATGAACATTGGAATTACTCTTAAACACGCAGTTTTGTTTTCAGTCTTTTGATTTTATTTTTATATTTATTTTTTAATTAAAAATAAAATTTATTTGACATATAATTTCCATTTTTTAAAATTTTTAAAATTTTCAAAAACAAAAAAATATATATTTTCGTTTATTTTTAAAATAAGATTTCACACTTCTCTCATCTTCACCATTTCCGAATCTACCTCCAACATGTAGTGGCAACAACCCTTCACATCACATCTGTACCATCCAACAACATTCCGGTCACTAACTTCAACAATTATTTGTGTCGCTAGTCACCATATCCAATGACCCTCTATTTTCGACCGCCATCTTCCATATTTCACAATTCATTTTTTCTTCAAAATATTCATGTACACAAATAAAATAAAATAAAAACTAAAAGTTATCAAACAAATGAATAATAGGGGGCCCATAAAGAATTCTTCTTCAGATAATACTTCCAGAATATGGTTGTTTTGGCCAAACATAAAACACAAATTCTTCTACATAGAGCATAGTTTTTGTGTATTAGGACGGACCAAATGCAAAGGAGGTTGATGTATTTACAAAAATACAAAATAATTGGGCATACATGTCTTGGCGCTTGGAATTATTTGATAGAACAATCAAAGAACAATATATCAAAATAATAATTTTGGCATGTGATATTCCAATGCAATAAGTTCTTTCATGAATTAAATATTTTTCGAGTCTTTCATGTGTACTTTTAGAATACAATTTAAGAAACTTACAAAGATTGAAAGGAGAGGTAAACATATAATAAATGATTAACGGAGAATGAATGGGCTGTTTGACATTCTTGCTTGAGTTCATAAATGGGGGTAAAAAAGAGTTTTTACAACTTAACTTCTCAATTTACCAGACAAAAATAACATGCAAACTGTTTTTCATGAGACCAAACCTTGTTCAGTTATCTACACATTTAACACCCTCTGAAGCTCCCCAGCTATATCATCCAAATGAATGACTTCCTTTTCTCTTCTTTTTTCCATCCGAATCATATCAAGCTCTGACTTCAGTTCGGCTATTTGCTTTTGTATGTTTACTCCCTTGTCCGGCAGTTTTGATACTAAAACCTGAAAATATTAAATAAAAACTTGTCTTAAGCAGCAAGATGTCTTCATGCAAGCAAAGGTGCTGAAAATTTTAGATGTTATCAAATCAATCCAACCTGATTGAGTGTTTCACATGTTCAATATAATTAGGAGAGTTGGTACTTGTTTAATGAGGCCAACTCGAATGCAAAGTTCCTTTTTATTAGCCTAGAGATTAAATGAACTCAATTTTCTAGAAGAGGAGAGATTGGATTAGGGTACTGTATAGTACAACAAACAAGCTATGCTGGTCAGGATTGTGAAGCAAAAAATAACTTGCCATGGAGTTTTTCTTCAAAATATTGTTCATTTGATGTAAGCATTCTTCTCATCAAAATAGGAAGTCAAACTGGCAAAACAAAGGAGCTTGATCTGGTTTAGAAGCATATGATACCTTATTTACTAGAATTTGAGATAGCCGATTGATCCTCTCTTTGATTTCTGTTTCTGTCGGTTTACTTGTGCTAGCCATGGAAGAACTATATCTGCTCAAATTCACATCCTTTGGATTGAAGGCATACTTGCTCCTGCAGAAAAGCTAAAAACTTTCACCACATTACTAAAATAATCTATTGAAAGCAATAGTCTCAAAACCATACCCATCAACATCACGTTCAAACTGAGAGGTTGAAGATGAGTTCCGCACAAATGTAGTTCCTTTCATCCTGCACCAATCAAATATGAATCCAATGAAATCAAATTCCAAAATTAAAGTGTAAATTGCTTATTAGATTACAAATATTCAATATTTTTTTAAAAGGACAATGTTTTTGCTATAGCAGCACGTTTAACTACGCTTCAAGAATTGCTTTTGTGGTAGTAACATGAGCCAGCAATGCTAGCTAGACTAAGCAGTAAAACATAAGGATCTCACCTTTTCACTTCCTCTTCCTCTTCCTGAACAACTGGCACAGGTGCCGTCTTGGAGAAAAGCAAGCTATGGTGACTAACTCCAGCTATGCCTTGAGTTTCCAAAAACTTTATGTGGGCTTTCAAAGACTCGTTCCTACGAGTAAAACACAAAGCAATTGGGGTTACAACTACATTGTTGATTTTGTTAGTCTTGACAATACCCACAAGGTACAATCCTCGTTATTGGTCTTGGTTTGCTTGATTTGTGAGGCTTTGCTCAAGAAGTGTAAAGCATGATTCATAGGGAAAATAAGCTAGATAAGTAAAAGCAAACCAAGAGCATGTTTTCACTTCATAAAAAATAAATATGAAATGCAATAAACTCTATACATCGTGTGCTGGCGATCATGCTCTTCATGCAACTGCTGCTGAGTGATAGAAACATCAAAGCCCTCTTTGGGAAGACTAAAAAGCTCCCGAAGATCCTGGAAGAATCAAATTGCAATTAGGTATACACACTCACCCTCTTCTATATATAGGAATCATGAATCATTGTAATAGATATCAATAAACATCAATCAATAATACATAAATTTTTACACTATTATTCTTCCATAAGCAGACAGTCAACTATTATTAACTCATGCAACAGATATTTAGGACTGCTGTAGGGAACATCCCTTTACCTTGATTGGCTAAAATTTTGCAACAATGTAGCTTTCAAGTAAAGTTGTAAAAAAATTATTCATGATTAGATGTAAAAACTCACAAAATGTTGTTGTGCTAGAAAAATCCACATGTGGAAAAGGAAATAACAAGATACCAGAATGTTGCAACCAGAGAATGAAAAATGAGAAACCTGCTTTCTATATATTTTTTCTTCAATTGTCCCACAGGTCATCAATCTGTACACGATGACATCCTTCTTCTGCCCAATACGATATGCACGATCAACACTTTGATTGTCAGTACTGCATTAAAAAATGAGGTTAGCAACTCATGTATCAAAAGCAGCACTGTGTCACCTTACTTGAGAAGCACAAGAACAAAATCAAGTAAGCTATGACTATTAGACCAGCTTTGTTTTGAGGATTAGAGGTGGAACGAGAAGGGTTTGAGGGATTATAAAACTTGTGGGGCGCACAAGTTTTTGTTGTCTCCTAATCCTCCGTTTAGATGCTCCCTGAGGTTGGGATTACTAATACTATGGCATTCGTTATACCCCAAAATGGGGGGATTAGTAATACCAATGCCAATAGTCTTGGGATTGGGAACAAGACCCAATAGTCCAATGCCAATAGTATTACTAATCCCCCACCACCATGGGACTAGAGACCATCCTCCATCCAACAGCCAAAATCCTCCCTTCTTACCCATGATATATCCTTCCCTAATCAAACATAAAACAAGTACTCCCTAAGAAGCAAGGATATGCAACAGTGAGGACACAACATAACTACGTAAAAACAATACAGGACACGTGGGGGGCAGCAACATACAAAATATATAATTTTTTATGTTATTATATGTCATTTAAGAAGCATAAACACGGGTATAGACATGAGACACATTGTTTTTCAAAATATAAGGATATGCATACGGCAAAAAAATGTATATATGTAGCTTAAGTATATGAACATAAAACAGGAATGCGTAGTTAACAAAAATGTACATACAGAAAATATCAAACAATCCATTTCAAGGTAGGGCATTTTTTTGTCCTTAAATTTAACAATGTTGGATCGTGGGTTGTAGTAGCATCAAGAATGCATAGTTAGCCCTATCTCTTTGCTTGCTCCTTTCTAGGTATTCCTTTTTTTAGCAATGTAATCTTAAAGTCAACTGTCAAGCATCACCAGGATATCCTGTTGCACTTGTATATGGACTCAAGCAAGTATTTCAAGTGCATGTCAATGTTTGTGTGGCACTCATCTAAAACAAAAAATTGCAGGACATAGCAACGGGGCTGATTTGTTATAGCTCCCAAATTTATTCATTTAGATCCAAGGGTAAAGTGATATATGTGCACGACATAGCTTAGCCAACTAAGAATAAAATAGACACTAAGGAGGGAAGGTTGCTTAGATAATGTGGTTTGCACTGGTATCAAACAAATTATTGGGGAAAGTTATTTACGGAAACAATCAAATAAATAGTTCATGATACAGCAAAAATACTTCACATCCCAATTAATTTACTGAAGGATCAAAAGGTTGGTGACAATATGTGTAAAAAAAAATGCAAGAAGCCCCTATATGTTCATAATTTGAGGAACACACAGCAAATCTTCAAGTTGTACCTAGTCTTTGTTTCAAAATCATCAAATTATGTAATCATCATAATCAAAGAAATTCAAATAAAGAAGAATTGCAAATGGCACCTTGGGTTCCATGCTGGATCAACCACAATCACACGGTCTGCTTTTGTAAGCGTCAGTCCCAAACCACCAACTTGTGATGTCAACAAAAAGATAGGAGCACCAACACCCTCTTGGAAATCCTGAAAGTAAACAATTCATGAAAACTGGAACATAAAAATTCCATAAAATTAAATGAGTTATTGAAACTTTTCAACTGACACACTAACATTGACAATCTTCAACCTGTCACTAGCTTTGGTGGTACCATCAATACGTAAGAATTCATAACCTTCTATCACCAACGATTCCTGAGTACAAGGGTCACAAATATTAACTTCGACAAAGCAAATATAATTTGAAAACAATCTAAAAAGGAATGCAACTACAAAAATACTCTCTGACTTCAATGGGGGCAACTGAAACAATCTTTCAAAAACCTAGAATCTATAATTTCAAACTTTTAAATGTAACTATCAATAAAAGGAAAGAACAAATCCTGCAACATTTCATGCCTTCAATAAATGACTGTTTTCCAAACAAATTCTTAAGAGAAGTTTGATTTAATACGAGAAGCTACACTGCAGCAAAATCAATCAAATTATATTTCATACATATGCCAAAAGTCCATAAGAATTGGATGTAGTTACCAGTTTAGCTTTAAACTTTGTGGTTTAGCCTTCCTATTGCAAGCCATATAAATTTTTTATTTAAATGGAAGTACAACCACTCATACGAGGTACACTAAACACGGTAAATATTGAATATACATAAAAAAAGACTCCCAAAAACAAGTTAGAATAGTCATAAATGAAGAATATTTATAGAGGTAAGACTATATAAATGTAAAAATATTTGTAAATACTGTTTCTTGTTCACAACAACTCTAGTATCTTGATTGACAAAGAGAAACAGTATCTTGACAAAGTGTTTTCTACAAGGAGATGTTTTGTCCTTTAATACATCATGGTGCAGGTAGGGCATTTTTTGTCTTTTAATACACGGGACAATAAAGGCATTTATGCCTTCTACTCAGAGATATCAAGGATATTTATTTCTACATACACCTAAAATAAGGTCAAAAGTAGTCTACACGTAATAAGGGCAAAATGGAAAACGGAACTTGATGACCTCGCAAAGTCTATTAACACAAAAGGGAGAGTAAAATTCAAAAGTGAACAAGAATGAAGGTCGGTGTCATTTCAAAAACTGCTGGGGAGGTCTCTATAATTATGAGAAACCTTAGGTGAGGTCAGTGTACTTTATCCAAAAGAAAAACATAAAATCAAATTCTAGATTTTATAAAACACATTTCTTAATTGAACTGTCTACTCAATCTTAAATAAGTAATGGGAAATGCTTGGCTCAAGAACCACCCAAGACAAGTACCTAATATAGTAAATGATCGTATGGTTAGGACTTGATCACTTGTCTCCTAGCATTAATATTCCACCTACTATCTAGTTAACCAAAGAACTAATTACTAAAATAATAGTATTTACAAACCAAGTTGTACACGTTGCATGAGCAATTGATGTGAAATGTCCAAGTGAATTTGTATCTCCTTTTATCATTGCATGGGCAATTGACATGTAATGTCCATGTGTTTGCAGATAAAACAATCCACCAAAATGAGGATTTATATCACCTTGTATCGCTACTCCTTAACTTGATAACATACCAATATGTGCAAAGATCACTAAAATTTGATATCTCCTCAATAGCATATGGTAAGCAATGTGATTTAAAACTAACCTGAATAAGATTAAGCATCTTGCGGGTTTGAGAGAAGATAAGAACACAATGCCCATCAGAAATTAAGTTATCCTGTGACAGGCATCATACATACCAGGTCAAAATAATATAACAACATATCTAGAGCATAAGTTCAATAACATGTAGTAATTCTAACCAATAATGATAGTATAAAAGTTATCTTGCATGAGACATTATGCTTCTCTTCAAAGACAGATCTCTCAGTGACATCTGCTATGTGCATTGCCAATTTTTCAGCAACAACAGTGTCTTCCTGGTTTACCATTGAATCCATCCCTTCCAATACATCTTCAGCAGCTCTTTTTGTCAAGAGAAGTGGATGATCACATATTTTTTTCAAAATCTGGAAAAAAAAAAAAATGATATTTTTCTATTATCTTGTTTCAGGTTTAAAAAAAAAAATGGCTACCCCGAATAGATGCCAAGAACAAGAAGAGTCAATGAGAAGGTATAAACTTGTCAATACAACGAGTTATGTTCAACTATAATCTCCTGAAAATCAAACGCGAAAGCAAAATAATATTAATAAAAAATAAAGTGAAACCAAAAAAGTGAAATTAGATTTAAATAATTTGGAAAAAAAATATATTTTATTTGGATTGCTCATTTTGGGATGAAAGTGTACCAAGTTTCGAAACATGCATTCCAAAACATAAAGCGGCATGGTATTAACACTTCCTGGTAACACTGCTGCAACAAAGTCTCTTTTAATCAAAAAAAGATTTGGCAAAATAAGAATACCTTTACATTATCTTTCCATTCATAGATAGTCATCTAGAACCTTTAAAGAAAGATGATAAATAATGTACTATATTTGAAGACCATGCGATTGATTCAAGTTGAACAATAATTTCTGTTTTGGTTTTACAAATTCTGCTTATATTTGCATAGTAGCTTGTGTCTACTGTCTAGTAAGTTGTGTTTTGTTTTAAGGATAAAACGTTGTCTGCATAAAGTTTGATGGATAAAGTAATAATTGTTGTAGTGAAGTCATGTATATCTATTACAAGAGAAAATGATATGATACTTTTCTTTATTCTTTTTTTGTATTAACACTATTATGTTAGAGCAAAGCTACCTTTTACCCACCTCTTGGTTGAGCAAAGACCTATAACAGCATATAAAAGTGCATTATGATTAATTTTTCAATTTTGAGTACTTTCACTCATTGTCAATCATTCATGATTAAATCATTGCTGCTGAAGGCAAAACACTTGTTTATTACTGACTGCATCATGCGATTGAGAATGTATTTACATAAAGAAGGGGTATCAATTTTGGAGACAAAAGATCCATGTCTATAGGTCTTGAAGAATGCTGTGCTAGATATGCTGGACTTGAAACAAATCATATCATGAGCAAGGTACAGAAAAAACAAATTTGTAGTGTGCATTGATTGTCCCAATCAACAATAGATAAATACAAGACATCTAGGAAACAAATAGAACATGAACAATATAAGATCATTATGAAACTTTGTAGGTCTGGTGATAGATTCAACTCATTTAACAGGTGATGATAAAGTTGTTACTCAAACTAGAGATGATTCAAGTAGACTTCAAACAACAAATTATCCCCAACAAGATCTCTTCTTCTTTCACCAGTGTCAACTAGCTAGGGTTGAAAAATTCGGAGAAGTCAAGAACCAAAACAAATCTGTTATCAAATCCTAACAAAAATGAGTCAAAATTTATACAAATTTTTGATACGGAGAATGGCTTCGTTTACTTGTATACCTAAAGGATGCTGAATGAATAACCCTTTAACAAGAAAAGTCCATCAATCAAATGCTCTAAGGTTGCAATAGGATAGGATTCATTAACATCTTTAATGATTTACATACCGAGAAAATGAGGACATGCGCAACCTGTATAAGATGATTCAGATTGGTATCTTTCATATTTGGATAAGCTTTTTAGCTGTTTTTTTTATCGCCTTTTAGCTTTTTAACGAGCTCTTGTTTCAATAAGTAATCAATTTTTAAACTTTTTATAGGCTTTGTGTTTTTATTTATTTGTTCATAGCAGCCTTTTAGTAGAAATACGGAAGCTAGTGGTTCAGTTAAAGGGACAGCCAGACCTGTAGGTTGGCACCGGATCTTTCGTTGTCAAAATTTTAAGCCTTGTTTCAATATATTACAAAACATCAAAATCTTAGCCAAAATGAGGATTTATATCACCTTGTATCGCTACTCCTTAACTTGATAACATACTAATATGTGCAAAGATCACTAAAATTTGATATCTCCTCAATAGCATATGGTAAGCAATGTGATTTAAAACTAACCTGAATAAGATTAAGCATCTTGCGGGTTTGAGAGAAGATAAGAACACAATGCCCATCAGAAATTAAGTTATCCTGTGACAGGCATCATACATACCAGGTCAAAATAATATAACAACATATCTAGAGCATAAGTTCAATAACATGTAGTAATTCTAACCAATAATGATAGTATAAAAGTTATCTTGCATGAGACATTATGCTTCTCTTCAAAGACAGATCTCTCAGTGACATCTGCTATGTGCATTGCCAATTTTTCAGCAACAACAGTGTCTTCCTGGTTTACCATTGAATCCATCCCTTCCAATACATCTTCAGCAGCTCTTTTTGTCAAGAGAAGTGGATGATCACATATTTTTTTCAAAATCTGGAAGAAAAAAAAAAAACAAATGATATTTTACTATTATCTTGTTTCAGGTTTAAAAAAAAAAAATGGCTACCCCGAATAGATGCCAAGAACAAGAAGAGTCAATGAGAAGGTATAAACTTGTCAATACAACGAGTTATGTTCAACTATAATCTCCTGAAAATCAAACGCGAAAGCAAAATAATATTAATAAAAAATAAAGTGAAACCAAAAAAGTGAAATTAGATTTAAATAATTTGGAAAAAAAATATATTTTATTTGGATTGCTCATTTTGGGATGAAAGTGTACCAAGTTTCGAAACATGCATTCCAAAACATAAAGCGGCATGGTATTAACACTTCCTGGTAACACTGCTGCAACAAAGTCTCTTTTAATCAAAAAAAGATTTGGCAAAATAAGAATACCTTTACATTATCTTTCCATTCATAGATAGTCATCTAGAACCTTTAAAGAAAGATGATAAATAATGTACTATATTTGAAGACCATGCGATTGATTCAAGTCACTAATTTTATGCATTATGTTATGGTAGATCATAAACCCATCATGGAATAGTTGCATGACATACAGCATATTCTTAGTCAATTTCCACAAAAGAAAATGAATATGGATGAGTCTATTGTAGTATCTTCTCTAATAGAAAAATTGCCATCTTCTTGGAAAGACTTTAAGAGAAGCCTGAAACACAAGAAGGAAGATCTTACTTTGGAAGAATTGGCTCAACACCTCCAGGTAAAGGAAGAGTCAAGACTTCTTGAAAGTAAGGATAATCAAGGGACTCAAGGTTCCAAGGTGCACATGGTGGATGATGGCAATAGATTCAACAAAGGGAAGCGTAAGCACAACTGCTCTCAACCCAACAAAGACTTTAAGAAGATCAAAGGCACTTGTTGGGATTGTGGCAAGCCTGGACATTTCAAGAATGAATGTCAATCATACAAGAAGAAACCAGAAGCATCAAATGCTAAGAACAAGTTTGTGGTTGTTGTATCTGAGGTAAACATGCTCGAGGATGCTAGAGGCTAGTGGATCGACTTAGGAACGACAAGACATGTACCTACAACGACAAGAACCTCTTCACCACTTATGAACCAGTGAGTGATGGAATAGTTCTCTACATGGGAAACTCTTCAACTGCAGCTATTAAGGGCAACGGAAAGGTGGATCTGGAGTTCACTTAAGAAAACGTTTGGATGCTTAGTGATGTGCATCATGTACCTGATGTCAGGAAAAATCTTGGTAGCGTTTGGTTGTGTTTTGTAAATGTGATTTGAGAGTATGAGTTGTATTTTGAGTTTGTGTGTTGTGGAGTTATGATTTGAGTGTAGAAAATTTGTTTGGTAAAGAGTTTTGAAAATAGTTTTGGAAAAGAGGTTTGATTTGAGTGGGGAATTATTGATGTGACATTTGATATGTGATACAAAAATTTACAACTCATAACTAAATATACAATTCAAAATTATTTTAAAGCACATAAAAAATTTAAAAATTTTCAGAAAATATTTGTCCCGATTATGTAAATCAATTGCAAAAAAAAAAAAAATCTGGAAATCAGCCGGACATCCGGGTGGACATCCGGGTGGTCTACCGGGTGGTCATCCGGGTGGTCTACCGGGTGGTCATCCGGTGGACAGAAAACACGCCTGTGTGCGCAGAGTTCTCTGCAGAGAGTGTAGAAAATTGATTTGAAAACGTAACCAAACATGATGCTCCAAAACACACGTAGAAAATTGATTTGGGAATACAAACAAACAGAGCCTTGATGATTGAAACTAACTGCAGTTTCAATAGTTATACGTCAATGTGAAATTTAAAAGTTTCAAAGTTCAAAACATAACTGAACATGGAAAGCCTCAATTACTCAAACTTATGGCTTCGTATATAAAGAACTTCTAAACACTGGAAATCCATTTTCTATAGTTTTTTAGGCATATATAGCTATTACTGAATCACCCACCCAACTGTAGCTTGAGGCTAGGCCTTTTTGGAAAATATATCACTCTCGAGTGACAAACCAATACATAGTGTATAACGAAGGAGTTGGAAAGAAAGAAAGGCTAGTGTAAGGCTAGAAACACCAACAAAAGTATCAAGATGTCTGGGGGCTTTTTGGAAATGGTAATGTCACACCACAGGTTTTACCATTTCATTACATATTTAAGATTCATCACTTGGAACACTAGAGTTTGTCTTGTATTCTATTCTAGACTGCCATGATCTTGTGAAACATAACTTGCTATGTGATATTTGTTAACATGAAAACAAGAGGTGTCTCTTTGACACATCAAACTATAATGCAGAGGAATAGTAAGAGAATCATATATAGCCAAATGCACATTCCACTCAGTACAAGTAGGCTTTGGTAGCCCATGGTTATCCCTCTCACCCTTTAATCCATCTAGGGTGTGATTTGGGTCATGACAGGTAATATCAAAGTTATGAGCCTAGAATATACAATACAATCATTACAGTAACTAAGGCCTTGTTTGGGGTACTCTAAAAAAGTCAAAAAGTTAAAAAGTCACTATCTCATTTAAGTCACATCATCTTATTTAAATCACATCACATCTCTACCACATCATTTCAAACCCAATCCATACCCAACCCATATTTCACAAAAAGTCAAAAAGTGCACTTATTTAAATCATCCCAAACCACCCTTAAGTTTATGAGCCAACAATCAATGGCGTTAAGTTCTACAGATGCATATGTTAACATTACTCAAGAGTACAAATATTTTACTGAAACGTCAAAGGATCAGTGGAGAAAATCTAAATTAAAACAGAGAACATCTAATTTATCCCTTTCCTAAAATTTGCAATCCTTCTTTTTTGTTATCTTGTTAGAATTAATTTAATCCAATCATGTCAAATACATTTGTGAATATTTCAAGTTAATTAGGACCCCATGGTTGTAGATGGCAGCAATTGTGACGGACCAATGACAACATCTTATCAATGCTGATTACACAATTTGAACAGGCAACTATAGTGACTAAAAATATGCAGGTTCTCTATCATGGTATCCATGCTAAGGTAAAGAGAAGCAGCAGCAGCAGCAGCAATAAGGCATAAGGGAATATAAAAAAAAGCTACAAGGCATAAAGGAGAAATCAGAGCAGTTTGGCTTCAGTATCTAGATCTGCAGAAAAACAATACACATACGCAACTAACATATAACTAATTATCACCTTCGCAACTGTTGAACCAATGCGTTTTTCCCTATCAGATGCATTTTTTTCATTTCCACGAAGAATAGCAGACTCGTATTTCTCCTTAAACCTGGAGAAAAACTGATAGCTTCATGCCTCCAGAGCCAAGAACTCAATAAAAGCCAAATGGAGAATAAAGTCAGTAATTACCAGTTCTTGTCGCCCAAGAGCTCAGGACAACAGAAGTTGAACAAGGCCCACAATTCCTGTTCAACATTAACAAAAAAAGAAGGGGAAAAAAAAAAATCTCCTATATAAGGAGTGTCATTTGGTCTTGTAAGATAAGAAGTTTTGAATATAACAGAAATATATTCCTTCTTCCTCATATTTTTCGGAGTTCTTCTTCTTCATATTTTCTAAGTACTAGCATGTTACATATGCACTAAAAGTTTTGATGAAGTACAAAACGTACATAAAGAGAAAACAATAGACCACACAGAATAGCATAAACAATACCTTAAGATTATTTTGTATTGGTGTGCCACTAATAACAATACGATGAGCAGCAGGTATCTCAAGCAAACTTTTGGCCCTTTGTGTACCAGGATTCTTTATCAGATGTCCCTAAAGTTGTAACATATTGAAAAAAATGGAGAACTTTAAGGTTTCTCAATAATAATAATAAATAAATAACCGATAAAAAAATAAAGGCTTCTCAAAAAACCAATGCACTATCCATGTGTCAATTATTATGAGGATGCGAAAAAGTGCTGAGATGATTGAAGATCACAAATTATTAGAGGTTATGACCTAGCACAATGGCAAGTGTCATCCGCCCCAGCATTGTGACACGGGTTCAACTCACAAGAATCAACCTCTCCACGAAAAAAGTGAGGCTAAGGCTGCCTACATATTGCCTATCTCAGAACCTACTGTAATCAGCCTTGTGCACTGGTACAACTTTTTTATGATGAAACATTACAAATTAGTTTTTTGATGCCATGATCTTTAACAAAAATCATGATAAAGCAAGAATGAAAGGATACTCACAAGTAATTATGATTTGAAAGGAAAATTTGTTCTTCCATATTCAAATGAAACAATTTTAACTTCAAATTTACACCAAGAAAACAAATGTGTGCACACATAATAAAAGCTTAGTCATGAATACTTAAACTTATGAAAAATCTTTGAAAATTGAAGTTTAAGAAGGAATTAATACTAAGTTTCAAGCAGTAATTTAACTCAATCACCCTAAATTACCACCAAAAAAAAAAAGTGAGAAAATGCTAATAATCAAAGCATACTTCCAATGTAAATCACAAGCGACAGTTATGTAATTAGTCACACTAGTAGCAACATTAGAGGACATAAAATAAAGGTTATTAAAGAATCTAATGGAGGGGTTTATAGAGCCAAACAACATCTTGTTGGAGGTTCAAGGAATGTCGCAACTTGTCAAAAATGTCCACCTAATGTACGGGAAGAGATAAAAGAGTATATGGGAAACAAGAAGACAATGAAAGAGCAAATTAACTTGTTCCCTCATTTTGATGAGATGAACAATGAACTTGAAGAGGATAAAAATGATATTGCTTTTGCTAGATCAAAAAGGTCCTTGCCAAGTAGTCGAAGTACTTCTTTAGCTGGATCAAAAAGGTCAAAGACAAAGGGGCCCATGGATGTATTCGACACACCCAATCTTGATGTTGTGGTGCAGAATAGAAAGGGAAAACAAACATCAATTGAACACAATGATCCTTATAAGAAAGAACAAAGAGATAGAGCATTGATAAGAATCACAAGGTGGATGTATCATGCAGGTATAGCATTTAATGCTAATTAGTTATGACAGCTTTGGACCAATGGGCGAAGCTATTGGGCAGTATGGTCATGGTATGAAACCTCCTAGTTTCCGTGAAGTGCGAGTTCCGTATCTGAAAAAAGAGTTGAATCATACAAATGAGTTGATAAAGATTCATAAAGAGGAATGGGTGAAATATGAGTGTTCCTTGATGTCAGATGGATAGACTTCGCAAAGTGGGAGGACCTTGATTAATTTTTTAGTCAATTGTCCTAGAGGAACTATGTTTGTTAAGTCCATCGATGCTTCAAGCTACTCAAATGATGGGAAAAAAACTCTTCGAACTACTTGATAAGTTTGTGGATGATGTTGGAGAAGTTAATGTAGTCCAAATTATCACAGATAGTGCCTCAGTTAATGTGTTGGCTGGTAAGAATCTTTTGTCTTGATTCTTAAAAAATATGTATTTACTAGTTAGTAAGTCAATTAGTTTAGTTGTCATTAAATAATCTTCTGTGTTTTGTTTCTATAATTTTAATAGGTAAGTTGTTGGAGGCAAAGAGACCACACCCCTTTTGGATACCATGTGTTGCTCACTGCTCGAATTTGATACTAGAAGACATTTTCAAATTGCCACATATGAAAACATTTGAAAGGGCTATTCGGGTACACTGTTATATTTATAACCATCTATGTGTGTTGATTATGATGAGGATGTTTACAAAGTTAAAGACTTTGATCAAGCCTACAAAGACAAGATTTGCAACTGCCATTCTCACTCTACCTAGGATTCATTAACAAAAAAACAACTTGAGAAAGATGTTCACTTCGGAGGAATGGACAAGCTCCAAACAAGCAAAGGAGCCAAAGGGAAAACAAGCAACACAGATTATGTTGATGCCTTCATTTTGGAATCTTGATGTCTATGCTCTTAAGGTCTCAGGTCCACTTGTACACGTGCTTAGGTTGGTTGATTCTGAGAAAAAGCCTACCATGGGATACATTTATGAGGCTGTGGATAGGGCTAAAGAAAGTATTGCGAAGTCATTTGATGATGAAAGTTTGACATGGGGTGATGTTGTTAGAACTTGTAGAGTTCAGGAAAGAAATAAGAGAACTAGAGCAACAACTTCAAAGAAACCATTGTCGTCGAGGGCAAGCTGTCATGGGCCAACTCCTTTAGTGGTGCAGCGGATCAATGTTTCGCCTGTGTGGCGCTCAAACTCCACCAAGTTTAATCCTGCCATAGCTCGTTGATAAATTGAGCGGTAGTGATCTCACCCGTTTGAACATTAAGGCCCAATGCTTTGTCTAGGAAAACAACTTCACAAGGAAACTCCGTCTTCACCCGGATGCCACAAGTAGGCCCAACGCCTCAAGTGCACCAAGCACGACATTAGTCGCTTCATAGCGCCAAGCTTATCTCAAGCAAGGTGCTCGCCCAACTTAGGTTCATGTCATCAAGGTGCCTAGCCACACAACAATGTGCTAACGAAGGCCCTCGACTTAGCTGGCAAGCCAACATTGCATGTTAGGCGTTTGATAGCATCTCAAGGTGCCATAGGGTCAAGCATGCCTCAATAGACCGCATAGTGTATGGCCACTTGGTCATGTGAAGCCCACAAGCCACTGAGGGTCACTCTCTTGCCCACGACGTACAGCGTACTCCTCGTGCCAACACGAGTGTTAGATTCCACCTAAGGCCATTGTGCAGCTTAGCGTTGCATCAACGTGTAGCATGAGTAAGGCAACGTCTCAATCCGTAACTCGCTTATAGCATAATGTAGTCCCTCAATGGACTTAGTCAATACATAGCTTGATGCCTTCATTCGATAACCCACATATGCGATGTTGCATTCCAACCGCTTAGATTAAGCCATGGGATCCTCTCGTACTAGGTTGAACCCAAACCAAGCACTTGAGTTAGCACACGAGGCCTTTGGTGGTGCCTCAATAGCCCATTCAGTCTAAAACGAATTCCCAAGATGCCATAACGCATGGCATAAGGAGGCCAACGTGTTAAACCTCACCCTCAGGAGTCACACGCAATGTTTACATTATTGCACCGTCCACAAGGCTCCCAAACCCACGTGGAGACTCTAGACACCCCTCTAGATGCCTAAAGCCCGCCCTTGAATTGCCCCAAGGTTACTCACTTGAAGCCCAATTTGGACGAGGAGATAAGTAGGTAGCATACCTTGCTCCCTTATATATGATTGTTAAGCATTAAGCCCTCTGGCAGAAAGAAATATCAATATGTCCGAGGAGTCATAATGATTTTTCATAAATTCCACAAATTGAGAAAAATCTCGAAAATTGGTCAAGAAATCACTTCCCCTAAGAACTCTTTATAATAAAAATTTCAGCCCAAAACTCCTTCGTTTGAATGCCCAAACAATGCGCCAAAACTGTGCACTGTTGGCTACTGCTGGCTAGTCTGCTAGGCTGCTACTGCCTGCTGGCTGTTGGCATGGGCTACGACCTTGCAACTTGTTGTCGTTGGCTGCTACTGCGGCTGGCTGGCAGCGAGCTGCGGCCTTGCTGCTAGCGCTGGCTGTTGGCATGGGTTGCGGCCTTGCTACTGCTGGCTACTAGTGGCCCACATGCATTGGGCTGCTTAAGGCCAATGTCAGGCCACGTTGAGGCACTTCCAACAACCACTCTTGAGCAATCAAATGGCCACACCACCACGAGCTAAACATCACAGAGTTGGCCTTGCAAAGCAACCCGTGACACCCTCTTCCAGTCCAACCATCAACGTCCTCGTTGATGTAACACAAAGCTGATGATGCAGTGCGTGTACCAACTCCTCTAACAAGTCCAACACCTCTGTGTTGATGGCCTACCTTCAACGTCTAACTCTTTTAGCCAAGCTCCCCTCATTGTTCTTTACTCAAATCCAACTGCAATGCACTCTAATTGTTGCACTCTCTGTTGGCAACTTGTCTCAGATGCCCACTCCGAAAATGACCTTTGCCAAAGCTCCTCTGAGCGTCTCTAAACTCTGCCCTTTCCTAATGCTCTAAAGCTCTGCTCTTTGCCAATACTCTTGAAATGTCAAGCCATCATCTCGAATGGCCTCTCTGCCAATGCTCCTTCGAGCAATCTCAAGCTCCTCTAAGCAAACTCAAGCTCGTCTGAGCTAACTCCTCTAGGCGATGTTCCTCTAGTTGTCCCTTATGCTCCTAATGCTCCTCCGAGCTAACTTGCAATGGGTCGTTGCATAGCAACTTCCTCCTCCACTTGTGTTGTCGAGGCCCTCGTCGACTCAATGCAAATCAATAGTTGCTCCTCAAAATAACTAAACAATGCCCACTGGCAACCACAAAGCCCTCTGGCTAACATCTTCATTAACTCAAGTATTTGTGTACTATGCCCTCTGGCGAAATAAAAGTCTTCTGGTTTCTACTCATTAACAAGCTCATGCCTCTGAAGTCTCTGGCTGATGCCCGCTGGCAAGCTCAATCTCTGAAGCCCTCTTGGTTATTGCTCTCTGGCAAACTCAAACTTTAAAGCACTTTAGCTAAAGCCCTCTGGCAAAATATATTCTTGCAAAACTCAAATTTTCTCATTCCCTCTTGCAAAAATGAAGCCCTCTAGCTTGACTCAAACTCATGCCCTCTGGCAATGGGTAGCCTTCTAGCTGGATATGTACTTATAACTCAAAACTTCAATGCTCTTGTAGAAGTGTAGCCCTCGGGCTAAATTGAAGCCCACCGACTTTGCTCAATTCGCTCTTTTTAACCAAGTGTAGCCCACTGGCTAAATATGCTTTTATAACTCAAAACTTTAATGCTACTTTTAGAAAGGTAGCCCTCAGGTTGAATTAACGCCCACTGGCTTTGCTCAACTCGTGCCCTCTGGCGAAGTGTAGACTACTAGCTGAATCTTATATGCTCGTGCCCTTAGGCAAGCCCTCTGTCTTAACTCATATCCTCTGGCTAGAATTCAACTTATACTGCCCAGTACCTCAGCCACTGCCTTCACTCGAGTCAGCTATCTCATTAAGCTCAAAGATTTCGCCTTTCAAAGGCTCACCGCTCCTACCGCCCACAAAGTTAGCCATCTCAACAAGGATGCTCAAAACGATGCGTTGATCCTGGCACCAAATCATGTCTTGACTTCACAATCCCACTATATGGTTGTCCTCTGACAACGGTGGTTTCATCCATCACCCCGCTCTCTAGCAAGCATGTACACTCAGTGCCTTTGCACACGAGAGTCAAGATCTCAAATTTTGTCTTGAAAATTTTCCGAACAAAAAGAGTCAACAACCATGCATCTGAAGATGCAAAACCACTGACAAACACAAGTTGCAAATGCCACCACGAACGGTCGAAACATAAGCCTCCTGAAGCGAACCAGTGATAATGCCATAGCACGTGCACAGCTACCAACAAAAATACATCTCTAATGCTCAATAGATGAAGATCACATGCCCACAATCTGATACAAGCATTACACAAGTCCAAACTGCGATAGAAATCCCCATATAGCCAACAAAGTAACACAATCATGCTAACCTTGCTGGTTAGAAAGCAACCCATCCACAAATGTAGCATACTCACACTACAGTGTGCCCACAGTGTAGAAATGGTCACCAAGTCCACAAAGTGAGGGAAACACCAAGTTAGCAAACACCAAGTTAGCAAGGCAACACTAAATGCCACAATGTTGCTTAATTCACACCCTCAAGAACGGTCACTGCATTCAAGGCATCGCTGACAAATCAAGTGGTAGTGATCCCACACATTTGAACATTAAGGCACAATGCTTTGTCTAACAAAACAACTTCACAAGGAAGCTTCGTCTTCACCCGGATGCCACAAGTAGGCCTAACGCCTCAAGTGCACCAAGCATGACATATGTCGCTTCATAGCGCCAAGCTTATCTTAAGCAAAGTGCTTGCCGAACTTAGGTTCATGTCATCAAGATGCCTAGCCACACAACAATGTGCTAGCGAAGGCCCTCAACTTAGTCGATAAGCCAACATTGCATGTTGGGTCTTTGATAGCATTTCAAAGTGCCATAGGGTCAAGCATGCCTCAATAGATGCATATTGGATGGCCACTTGGTTATGCAAAGCCCACAAGCCACCGAGGGTCAATCTCTTGCCCATGGCGTACTTCTCGTGCCAACACGTGTGTTAGATTCCGCCTAAGGCCATTGCGCACCTTAGCATTGCACCACCATGTAGCATGAGTAAGGCAACGTCTCAATCCGTAACTCGCTTATAGTATAATATAGTCCCTCAATGGACATAGTCAATACATAGCTTGATGCCTTCATTCGATAGCCCACATATGCAGTATTGTCTTCTAACCGCTTAGCTTAAGCCACGGGATCCCCTCGTACTAGGTTGAACCCAAACTAAGCACTTGAGTTGGCACACGAGACCTTTGGTGGTGCCTCGATAGCCCATTTGGTCTAAAACGAGTCCCCAAGATACCATAACGCTTGGCATAAGGAGGACAACGTGTTAAACCTCACCCTCGGGAGGCACGCGCAGTGCTTTCATTATTGCACCATCCACAAGACTCCCAAACCCACGTGAAGACTCTAGACACCCCTTTGGATGCCTAAAGCCCGTCCTTGAGTTGCCCCAAGGTTTACTCACTTGAAGCCCAGTTTGGACGGGGAGATAAGTAGGTAGCACACCTTGCCCCCTTATATATGATTGTTAAGCATTTAGCTCTCTGGCAGAAGGAAATATCAATGTGTCTGAGGAGTTATAATGATTTTTCATAAATTTCCCAAATTGAGAAAAATCACAAAACTTGGTCGGGAAAACAATTCCCCCAAGACCTCTTTATAATAAAAATTTCAGCCCAAAACTCCTTCGTTTGAATGCCCAAACAACGCGCCAAAATTGTGCACTATTGGCTGCTGCTGGCTGGTCTGCTAGGCTGCTGCTGCCTGCTGGCATGCTACTACTGGCTGTTGGCTGTTAGGCTGCAGCCTTGTTGCTTGCTGCTGGTGCTATTACGGCCTTGCTACTGCTGGTTGTTGGTGGCCCACATGCCTTGGGCTGCTTGGAGCTAATGGTGGTGTTTGTTTGGGCTTTTTTTAGTCAACTTATAGCTTCTAGCTTTGGAAAAGTTATTTTAGACTGTTTGATTAAATTTATTTCAAACAACTTCTGATTCTAACAACTTATTTTAACTCAAAAAAGCTGATTCTGAGAAATTAATCACCCCTTACTTCTGATTATCAACTTCTGCTGTAGACATGTTAATTTACGATTATACTCTTAGATTAAAAAATTAAAAAAAGGCTCAAATGGACTATAGATTTTTTTTTTTTTTTTATAAGAAATGTAGACAAGTAGTGAATAACAAAAAATAAAAGTTAATTGAGAAAACTACTTCACAGCTTATTTAACAAACACTACTCAGCAACTTAAATCTATAATCCAACAGTTACACCAAACAGATTAAGTTGAGACACGTCCAACGACCACTCTTGAGCACTCAAATGGCCACACCACCATGAGCTAAACGTCACGGAGTTGGCCTTGCAAGGCAACCCGTGACACAAGGCCAAGGGGTTCTAGATCATCAAATGCACCTCAACTGATAGATAAGGAAAAGGCAGATTCAGAGGAGACAAAAGAGGAAGATGTAGAAGGATACAAATCCAATGATGAAGAAGAAAATTATGAGTTGCGTGTTGTTGATATTGAGAATGATGATTGTTAGATCCTCATTGGATAAATGGGAGCAAAGACTTGATGTTTTGTTGGTTTAATTTGTTGATGCTTTGAAATACATGCTTAAACTTGAAATATTGTTGTTAGTTGACATTTATATGCCTCATGTTAAATTATATTATTTCAACCTGCCATGGTGCGCCTTACTTCGACAAAGTCGGCACCTCACCTTGCGCCTTGAGCCTAAGGCCCTAGGAGACCTTGGCGCCTTGATGCGCTTATCGCTTTTAATAACACTGGGCAAACCCCTTCATGTAGAGGAGAACAAAACCTATTCCTCTAAGTGTAAAGTTGTTTAGAAGTTAGGAAGTATGAACATACATGATACATGTATGTACATGCTTGTTTGTGAAACTAAAGCACTAAACAATAAGTAACAACAATAATAAAAACCTTGTAGCAGGTAAAGGAAAGCACATTAATGGTGAACCACTAGCATCATTGTTCATTTTACCTCATCAAGTATCATATAATCCCATGTGATGTCGTCCTCACTTCTCTCATCATGAAAGTAATAGTCCCCGCGTAAAGATTTTGCATTATTCCGCACAATATCATAAGTAGTGAGAAGAACACCTTTGTCCTGTAAGGGAGACAAATTTTGCAAACATAAAATTTTGATAACATTTGATTAATAAAAGAATGATCTTACCAAAAAAATAAAAGAACGAAGGCTATTCAAATCTACATTACTGCTTTTTCCTAGAATTAAGTTCAAAAAAGAAGCTCATAGTAAACATGATACATGCATGACATGCTGTTAGAAAAAGAATTCCAATTTCTATGGATCTTTGTTGAACTTTGAAATCATGCTCAAGTCCAATAATGTTTTGGTTTGAACTTAAAGAATCAATTGCACTGCTATTGTTACAAAGTTTAATTCAAAATTAAAGCATCAAACCATTATCCATAGTTAGCATCTTCCTTGCCCATACATATTTTTATTAGGTAATATTGTTTTTTTATGAGGTAATAGTTGCCCATACATATTACATTTTCAGAGCATAGTACATTAACATTCTTTTGAAATGTTCTGACTGCTCACATAGTTTTGCAGAGAGGATAAAAAGCACATGCCATGCAAATCAAAAACAAAAAAACTAAAGAAAAATTCTCGATGTTTAAAAAACCAACTTGTTTTCAAATTTAATTTTCTGGTCAAAGCGTTTTTTTTTTTTTTTTTGTTTCTATTCCACTAAAAAGCAGTAGTAGACATGAGATCAAACCTGAAGTATATATTGGAGTTCATATTGCCGTGCTTTTACACAAGTCCCAAAATATCTGCACAGAAGGATGGCCAAGTGATAAATTTTGGCTATCTTACTTCATATAACAAAAGTATGTATTTCAAAGATATAAGTCAAACAGCCTCACTCTCTTGTCTTCTCAGAGAGCCCTACGACTGATAATTCTTTTATCCAATGAGGTAATAGTGTCTTGGGGGCAACAACCAATGCCCTCTTTATCAAACATGAATGAAACAGCCCAGCTAGAAACCCACAGATCTACAATAAGGAAAATTAAAAAGCAATCATCATTCATCTAAAAATCATGATGGAAAGCATATCTCAGTAGCATGAATTTTCATTTCTTTTACCTGCATTGTTTTACCTAAGCCCATATCATCACCCAAGATGCCACCCTTACCCTGACAGTGAAGAGACCACAGCCACTTCATGCCATCTCGTTGATGAGGATACAGCATTTTTGCAATTTTACCAGGTAATAAGTATGTTGAGTTTGGACCCTTATAAGTAATGGAATCCTCATCCCCAGAAACAGCATCATCATTGTAATTATCCAGTGCAACAACCTTATCAGAATCATCAAATCCGTCTTGAAACTTACTACTTCGCCTCTCTGCTTCTTTGACCAATTTTTTGCCACTTAGAATCACACAGTCATCGTCGTCTTCATCGTGTCGTTCAAACTTGGCAGCAAAAGTTTGCCCCAAGGGCACAGGTTTCACACCCATCTTTTTAGTTTCATATTTCTCCTGTCCTTTACCAGCATTCTTAGGTCTGCTAACCCTACCTACAAAATTATCAATCTCTGACTCAATTTCATCCTCGTGCTTATCTACCCTGCTTTCAATTCCACCTCCAAATGTAGATTGATTCGTTGCATCCGACGAGGAATCAGATAGATCAGATGTGAGTGAAAAGGAAGAAGCGGCACTAGCATATTCAGGCAATTCATCTTTCTTTGCTTGATCATAAACTTCATCTTTAACAGAAGCCAAAGACTGCCCCCTCAAATCAACCATTTTGGGGGCACGTTTCTTCTCAATTGAGAGAAACTCGAGCCTGGAGCTTAAGTCATTTAGAATATCCCTAATTTCATTCCCACCACCAGTGTCCCTCTCAACTGCATTTCTCAACGGAAGTGGTGAATCAAAATCAGCAAGCCCAGAAAATGCCGGGTCATCATCTGCAGCTCTGGTCTTGCCATCATCATGATTATCATCTTTGGATGAAACTTTGCAGAGCCGACGCCTTCCTTCCATCTTAACTTTCAATGGCTTCTTTTCTTCTATAGTTCACCCATCAATTAATTTACGTAAGAATCCAAAACATAAAAGCACACAAAGAATCTAGAGAGAGGGGAGAGAGATTATCAAGATAAGTATTGAAATTAGTTGTTCCAGCAATCACTGGTACATTAAACGAACCCGTGCTCACTTCACCATCAATATGATCTCGGGATGAAACTTTGCCATTGATATTGACCCTAGATGGCTTTTCTTGCACTGCAATTAGTTCAACCACTAATTCATCTAAGAAACCGAAAATCAAACAGAACACAGACAAACAAGAGAGAGAGAGAGAGAGAGCGAGAGAGCGAGCGAAAGAGAGAGACCAGGTGAATGAGAATCGAAGTCAGTAATTCCAGAAAAGTTGGGTTCTGGTTCATCAATCGCAGTAAAGTTGTCACAGTCATCATCTTCCTCGTTCACTTCAAACTCGAACTCCGATGACTTCATTTCAACTGTTAATCGATCCATATAAGAAACCAAAACTAACACAAATACCAAAAAAGAGAATCTAGAGAGCGAAAGCGTAGACAGAAAGAAAGGAATACGAATACCAGGAGAAGGAGAATCAAAATCAACAATCCCGGAGAATCGAGGAACATCGTCGTATGAATCCAGCTTCACCTTCGATCGCTCATATTCCTCTGCACAACAATCAAACCCTAATATAGATGCAAATCAATTACATACATATATACATAGAGAGAGAGAGAGAGAGTAGAGAGAGAAAAGGGTACGAGGTGGGGAGGAATGGGGTTTGGAATGGGGACGAGATTGGGAAGAGGAGAGGTCAAGGAGGAGACGATTGTGGCGCTGGTTCAAGCTGAGTGGCTGATTCATCTTCTTCTCCGCCATTGCTGCAGAGAGTTTCTGCAAAACCTATGAAAATGGAATAGAGGTTTATTGATCAATGGTTTGCTTCGAACATGGAGCTATAAGGGCCTTTTTTTCCCGCTTTTATATCGGATTTGAATTTCAAGTCAGACAGACATTTGCCATCTCCGGGGGTTTTGAGTAAAAATTTGGGAATTTACAAATCAGTCACTATTCTGAAATAATTAAAATTTTATGATTTTAATCATTAAAATTTATGTCATCTGTTTGGTTTAGTTTTACAATTATTATTTTAATGTAAAGTTGTGTTTTAAGTTTTTGAATTATGATTTAAAAAGAAAAAATTTGTTTAGTTATAAATTTTGAATATAATTTTTTGATGATTTGTAATTTTTTTAAATATTTTTTTATTGATTAATCTATCGAATGTGATAGAATTTGCAAAGAGAGAGGAAAGATGGAAAAGAAAAAGTGATTAATTGGTTGAATAATAATAATATAAAAAAGAGAAGAGAGAAGTTTTGAAGTAATTTTGAGTTGTATTTTAAAAATATATTTGGTTAACATGTTTTATCTAAATTATGATTTAAAAACATAGTTGAGTTTTGAAAAATAAGCCAAACGCTAAGATAGAGGTTGCCATGAATTGTTATTTTACTTACTGTTGGACCATTTTAATATCTTTTATTTATATTATTCATGAATCTTCTTTTGTCTTATTCATGAATCTTATCTTGTTCATGAATGAAGATTCATTATTCTGGTGACCTTTTGTCTTGTTCATGAATGAAGATTAATTAGGTTCATGGACTTGGTAGTGAGTTATTTATTTGGAGACTCTCTCTTATCTCTAGGTTCATGGTCATTATTATTTTTTGGTGTATTTTGTAATGTCCTAGTGGCCTATAAATAGTGCCTCTCTTCTACTCTTTTTTATACCAACACACCAAGTATTTTCTGTATAAGAGAGATTACTAGCAAAGAAGAGTGTTTTTCTTGGTAGAGTTTTGAGTTCACCATCTTATGCAGAGTTGGTTTGAACTATACGACAAGTGGTCGGGCTGTTGTATCCTAGAGGAGACAAATCATAGTTTTGTGACTGCTGCATCGGTATTTGGATTCTTCCTACCGCAGTGGGCTTGATCTCCTTATAGAAAACGAGATATTCGTGCCTCAGCCTGATCTATTTGTATCTTTTTTTCTTTGCATTATTTATCAATGAAATATTTTTCTGAAATTTTCACCAACAATTTTAAGAAGATTAGCCATGGAAGAAGTACCAGAAAAAACCAATGATGGAATTGGAGATCTCAACAAGCTTTTCAAGTTCAAGAGAGTTCATTTTAAGAGGTGGAAAGAAAAAAGTTTTTTTTACCTTAGTCTTTTGAAAGTTACATATGCTCTTACCGAGAAGAACCCAAACAAAATCCCAACTGAGGAGATAAATGATGAAGACTACAAGGCACATGAAGCAAAAGTGACTTCTTATAATACAGATGAGTATAAATGTCGCTTTTATATCTTAAATTGACTTACTGATCAATTTTATGATTACTATGACACCACTTACACTTTCACAAAAAAAAAAAATGGAAAGCTTTACAGACTAAGTATGATACTAAAGAGGCAGGAGCAAAAAAGTATGTCGCTAGCTGTTTTTTTCGCTTCCAAATGGTGGATGCAAAATCTGCTGTGGAGCAAACACAAGATTTCCAAATGATAGTTGTAGAAGTAAGATCTGAAGGCATCAAGATTGGTGACAAGTTAGTAGTTGCAGGACTTGTTGACAAGCTACCGCCATCTTGGAGATAATTCCAATAGAGCATGCGCCACAAACAAAATGAGACTTCCTTAGAGGCGTTAATCACTCGCATCCGAGTCGAAGAGGAGGCTAGAGGCCAAGATGCATTAATCACACAAGAGGGTAATGACAATTCTACCACAAAGGTAAACTTTGTTTCAACAAATAATAACTTACCCAAAGGTCACTATTCCAATAATGCTTATTTGAAGCCTTATAAAAAGAATATGAAGAATTATGGTAAACCTCACAATAAATGGATTAATCCAAATAAGAACCAAGGTCTATCAGCTCTATAAAATTTTACATGCTTTCTCTGTGGCAAAAGTGGGCATATTACTCGAACTTGCAAATTCCGAAAATGTGCACCTGCCCTAAAGGCTAATGTTATCGAGGAGCCATTTGTGGCGATGATTACAGACATTTGCATAGTTAATTATGCGGACGGTTGATGGGCAGATTCTGGTGCCAATAGACATGTTTATTATGATCAAGCTTGGTTCAAGGTGTATACTCTCTTTGATGATGAGAAAACAATTATGCCTAGTGACTCTAGTTAAACCAAGATATTTGGGAGTGGTGAGGTTGACCTTAAGTTCACCTCTGGACGTGTGCTTACTTTAAAAGGTGTGCTTTATACATTGTCCATGAAGAAGAATTTGATGTCAAGTTATTTGTTGAATAAGGCTGGTTTTAAGCAAACTATAGAATCTGATCAACATGTGATGACCAATAAAGGTATTTTTGTGGGTAAGGGTTGTTGAGATTAATAAACCATCTACCAATTCAGTTTACATGTTATCTTCTATTAATTTTTAGCATGCTCACTTGTGTCATATTAACAGTAAATATGTGGGAATCATTAGTAGTTTAGGATTAATTCCTAAAGTGACAAAAAATTTGAGAAATGTGAAGTTTACAGTAAAACAAAAATTACCAAGAGGCCTCATAAAAGTGTTGAAAAAAATACCGAATTGCTAGAATTATTTCATACTGATTTGTGTGAGTTTGAAGGAATTTTAACTCGAGGTGGTAACCAATATTTTATCACTTTTATTTATGATTTTTCAAAATACACAAACGTATATTTATTAAAAAATAAGAGTGATGCTTTTGAGAAATTTAAAGAATTCCTTATTGAAATGGAAAATTAATTCGGTAAAAAGATTAAGAGAATTAGAAGTGATAGAGGCCGGGAGTTTGAATCTCTTGGATTCAACTCTTTTGTTCAGTCATTGGAAATTATTCATGAGACTACTCCACCATATTCACCTCCATCTAATGGCGTAGCTGAAAGAAAAAATAGAACGTTAATTGACTTGACGAATGCTATGCTTACCGATTCAGGTGCTCCCTTAAATCTTTGGGGCGAGACTATTTTGACAGCTTGCCATGTGATAAATAGAGTGCCACACAAAAAGACTAAAATTGTACCTTATGAGTTGTGGCGGGGGCATAAACCAAATTTAGGTTATTTGAGGGTTTGGGGTTGTTTAACTTTTGTGAGGCTTGCAGATTCTAAACGACCTAAATTTGGTAAACGAGCTACCATTTGTGCTTTTCTTGGGTATGCGTTGCATAGTACAATTTATAGATTTTTTGATATGAAAAATAATATTATTTTTTGAATCAGGTGATGCTATTTTTCATGAAAATAAATTTCCTTTCAAATCTAAAAATAGTAAGGGTCAAATAATTTCTGAAAATATTTTATCTGTGCCTAACTCTTCTACTCCTTCTCAAGTTTTTCAAGAACAAAAAAATTCTCAAATTCAACCAATGAGGAGTAAACGAGCTAGTGTTGAAAAAGATTTTGGCCCTGACTATTATCTTTATAATGTGGAAGAAAATCTTCTTACGGTGCAAGAAGCTTTATCATCACTTGATGCTATTTTCTGGAGAGAGGTTGTAAATGATGAGATAGATTCACTACTTTCAAATAAAACATGGAAACTAGTAGATTTACCTCCAGGTTGTAAAACTATTGGGTGTAAATGGGTCCTTCGTAACAAAATTAAACCGGATGGAACTATAGATAAATATAAAGCGAGGCTTGTTGCTAAAGGTTTTAAGTAACAAGTTGATCTTGATTTCTTTAATACTTTTTCTCCGATTACTAGAATCACATCCATTAGACTGTTGATAGCAGTGGCTGCAATTCATGATTTAAAAATTCATCAAATGGATGTGAAAACCAGCATTTTAAAATGGAGATCTAGATAAGGAGATTTACATGGACCAAACTGAAGGCTTTGTGGAGCCTGGCCAAGAAAGCAAGGTGTGTAGGCTATCTAAATCCCTTTATGGTTTAAAACAAGCTTCTAAACAATGGCATAAGAAATTTGATTCTTGCATGCTTGAGAATGGCTATAAGACTAATGAATGTGATAAGTGCATATATTATAAAACTTGTGAGAATGCACATGTGATTATTAGCCTATATGTGGATGATCTACTTATCTTTGGCTCTAATTTGCATATTATAAATGAGACTAAAAATATGCTTAACAGCCACTTTGATATGAAAGATCTTGGTGAAGCCAATTTTATTTTGGGAATTAAAATTACCAAGACTAATGATGGTATTTTTCTTGATTAGTAGTATTATGTTGAGAAAATTTTAAAGAAATATAATTTTCTAGACTGTAAACATGTTACTACTTATTTTGATGCAAGTATACATTTATCTGTTGTAATAAATGAAAAAGAAGTGATTAATCAAAAGGAGCATGCTAGCATGATTGGTAGCTTGAGATATGCTACTGACTGTACTAGACCTGACATTGCATATACTGTTGAAGTACTTAGCAGGTTTACTAGCAAACCAAGTCGAGATCATTACCTAGCCATGGGAAGAATAATGAGATATTTATTTGGTACAAAAAATTATGGTCTGTTTTATAACAAGTATTTTGCGGTACTTGAGGGATATAGTAATGCCAATTGGAACACTTTGTCAGGTGATTTTCTCTCTACCTCGGGTTTTATTTTTATCTTGGGTGGTGGTGCTATATGTTGGAAGTCTAAAAAACAAACTATAATTGCTAATTCTACTATAGAAGCTGAGCTTATAGCGTTAGCTTCAGCATGTGAGGAAGCGAATTGGTTGAGAGATTTGTTATATGAAATCCCTTTTTGGGAAAAACCAATTCCTCATGTGTTAATTCAATGTGATAACACTGTTGCTATTGGTAGAGTGAACAACCATTTTTATAATGGTAAATCTAGACATATTCGAAGGAAACACAGTAATGTGAGATCCTATTTGAGTAATGGCATCATAACTGTGAATTATGTAAGATCTTGTGATAATCTTGCGGATCCGTTAACCAAGGCCTTGGCGAGAGATAGGGTCTGGAATACATCGAGGGCGATGG